CGAGACATTTAACAAGTAGATGACAAAATGTAATCGTCAGATTTGTAAGCTTTGCCATCCAGGGCAGAAAAGATAAAATATAATAAAAAATCAAAATGACAAGTTATGCTGACTGGACTGTCTGGTATTACTGGTAATTACTGGTATTAGCTGGTTAATTACTGCGTATTACTGATCAATTAGATGTAATATCAGTGCTCTAAGATTTGGAATGTGTATTTAATATGACAATATGTGCTGAATATTCAATTCAAAAGCTTCAAAACGATACAATGTAATAGTTGAAAGTATAACATGCCAGGATTGAAAATAGCTTATTTTCATAATATGTACTGAAGATATACATTGTAACATGTTTTATTAGTTATCATACTCATAATATATATTTTAGATAACTTAGTCAACAACATCAGGCTTTAGCTTACATTCCTCTTTGAAATTTACAAATTGACCTTGTAAAATGATCAGAAGTTGGTTGCTTTCAACATTAGCTGAAAATGCAGGAGATGCCACTTTCCAGGCTCTTACAGTTCAACATTTTTCGGACCCCCGCATCGGCTGGCTTCATATTTCTGCAGTGGCACTTTTTGGGAGGCCACTACGGCCCTGTGGTCGAAATTTTGAACCGTGATAACTTGAAAGGCTCATATAATTAGAAGTTACACGAACCTTACGTAAGTTAATGCAGTATCAATTGATTCATCGCGCGGACAACGGAATTGCTCGTTGTTCAAGGCGTATATATATAATAAAAGACAGTCTATGTGTATATAATCTACGGGCAATATTAATACTGTATAGCTAGCTATTCATGTTCAGTTGCAAGAGAATTAAAAAAAAACATGGTTTTGTGGCTGCTTCGAATAGTAGGCCTAAATAACAATACTATTAGGGTAATAATGATCAAAATATTTATTCACGCTTTACTTATGTAATTAAAATTATATATATATAATAACGCATATCATAATTACAGTACAGTGGTAATTTATTTTCCAGTGCCAATCGTCTCGTTGTAAACGGATGAACGTGCCGAGGAGACGGAGAATCAACACGTCAAAAGGTTTTCATGCAACGATTGAGTGGTTATTGGCCCCAGCCACATAATCAATGAGCAGCGGAGTTACATATATATACACGCATGAAGCTGACTTGTGTTTGGAAAATGCTATTCCTACTGAATAGACAGCGTATTAAGTGGAACGTTTCCTCGTAGACAGCTCTCCGACATGGTGAAATATTTACGTGTGACCGACTACATTCGAATTATTAAACGCCATGAGCGTGTTTTCAACACAACTTAGGTATTCTCATTAGAACGATGGGACGTCCATTATATTTATTTATTTTGCTGCCATTTAATTAATGCTATTAACGAATAATTAATTATTTAAATTGTTAGTGTATGTGTTGGTAGTGTATCCATCCATCCATCTATCCGGTAATGTAAGCTGTGCTTAGAAACATAGATGGACGGATAAGCATCTAGGTAGATAGATGGATGGATGGGTAGATGGCTAGATGGATGGATGGATAGATGGCTGGTTGGATAATTGGCTAGATGGTTCAATGGGTAGATGGCTAGATATGGATAGATAGATAGATGGGTAGATAGATAGATATATAGATACATGGATAGATGGATAGATAGATGCATACATGGATAGATGGATAGGTATATTGATAGATAGATAGATAGGTATATAGATAGATAGATAGATAGATAGGTATATAGATAGATAGATAGATAGATAGATACATTCACGGCTCGATAAACACTGCCTTTTATCACGCATTGAACAAAGAGCAACTCCGTTGTCCGCGCGTTACATCAATAACACTAACTTGTAATTATACGCCTTTCAAATTACCGCCATTAAAAACTTCGTCGACAAAAACTTAGACAAGATGGTGAGAAAGGTTCTTCTTTCTTGGACGCGAGAGATCCCACGAGAGAGAAGCATGTTCTAACATGACGAAACTCGGTGTAAATTCGCTGGACAAACTTTGATTGGTTTATTCTAAATATGCGAACTTTATCATTATTGCCCATACTAGATAACGTTACGATGTTAAATTTAATTGGATGGTGGCGCCCTTAGATTAAAAAAAACACGGTATAGTGTGAAGTAGGTAGATAGATGGATAGATAGATAGATAGATAGATAGATAGA